GGGACAGAAAGAGGCAGGGAGATCAGGTGGGAAGGGTCCAGCGTGGAGTGCACCCACGAGGCCAATGCAACGAATGCTCACAGTGTGTGTACTGCAACCTAGGCTTTCCAGGATCTGGACCAGCCTGCTGGAGCCAGCTAGTAATGCTATGTCCCAATGTCAACTTCAGGGCTACCACTACCCAGTGTGTCAGGTCACAGACCAATTCCCAGCCTTCCAGAGCCTGACTTCCAGGGGTTAAGGACTTTGTAGAATAATACGAGCCCCTAGGGCAGCCCCCCCTCCTACGGCTAGCCAGCTAGGACGTGCTGTCCTTTTAGACCGGGACATTCACCCCCACCTCTACCCCGAGTAGTGTAGGTAGACAGTGGAATCCAGCAGTGTAGACACTTAGAAAGATATGTCTGTCTGTCTGTCTGTCTGTCTTTCAGCTTGCTGATAAGGGGGAAGCTGTGGGGACAGAAGAAGGTCTAGGGCCCATTCTATCTGGGTTCTGGAGTTTTCCAGCCCCCACCTAGTTTACCCTCGGTAGGCTCAGTCCTACCCATGGCTCCTAGAGCAGAGCCTGGCCTCCCTGCTAAAAGGCTTTCGTGAGTGTGGTTAAACCCAGGGCACCCCAGGTCCCTCTGTGTAGGTGGGAGGCAACGCCCCCTGCTGGCACAGGACAGAGAAGAGGAAAAGTATGGGGCAGATTAGGCAGACAGGTCACATCACAGTTATAAATAAACAGACCTCACTTGCCCTGACCATCTCCGTCTCATTAGCCATACAAGGTCCCTTCCGGGGGAGCTAGCGCGCCCACCTCTGCTCCCCTGAAGTGCCCTCGGGCCTCCCGGCAGAACATTTTTTGGCATAATCTAAACTGTCGGCAAAACAAGATGAAAATTTAGTAATTGCTTTTGGCTAGGAGTCCACAGGCCAGCTCCAGCCAAAAATAACTCAAAGGAAATATCTCAGGCCACCTGTGGCCCCGAGCCTCCATCTGGCCCCAGTCTGAACAAGGAACCAGAGGGGTCTTGGCCTGACCCTGACATTGGCTGGTCAGGACAACAGGAGACAGGTTGAATACTCAGGGAAGAAAGAGGAGCAGGGCTGTGGGGCTGTCGCTCAGCCCACTTCCTGCCAGGAAGTATCCAGCCATCCAAAAAATGTAATGTCATTCTTGAGCAAGGAAAACAGCTGCAGCTGGGTGGTGGTGGCGCACGCCTTTAATCCCAGCACTCGGGAGGCAGAGGCAGGTGGCTCTTGAGTTCAAGACCAGCCTGGTTTATAGAATGAGTTCCAGGACAGACAGGGCTACACAGAGAAACCCTGTCTCAAAACAAAAGAAAGAAAGAAAGAAAGAAAGAAAGAAAGAAAGAAAGAAAGAAAGAAAGAAAGAAAGAAAGAGAGAGAGAAAGAGAGAGAGAAAGAAAGAAAGAAAAAAGAGGGAGATAGGGAGGGAGAGAGAGAGGGAGGGAGGAGGGGGAGAGGGGGGAGGGTAGGAAAAAAAGAAGAGCAGTTCTTCCGCTACTTAGTGGCCACAAAGAGCTGGCAGCACCCAGGAGAGGGCATCAGCTGAGGCTACAAGGAGGTGGACCCCAGGTGGGCACGACAGGTTTTCATTAACTTTTCACCCCTTTGAACTCTGCAGGCTTGGCCAGTTCCATCTTATAAACCAGGAAACTGAGGCTGTAGAGAGAAGATCTCACTGTGAGGGCTCAATCCTGGGTCACCTGGCAGGGAGCTGCCCCTGGGGTCCCAGGTACAGTGATGAATGGAGCAGTGGAGGGGACAGAGGGGCCTCCCCTGATCCCTCTTCCTGACCCTATACAGGGTGTGCACAGGACCTATGAGTGGGTTGGAGTTCCACAAAGGGTGCCAGGAGTGTCCACTGTGGAGGGGACATACAAGAAAACAGAGCGATCTCCCAGGACAGGGCTCCCAAGCCAGTCTCTGCCTTTCGAGGAAGACCGTAGTCCTTCGCCCTGTCGCCTGCCTCTGTATAGTCGCCCATTGTGTGCTGATCCCTTATCCTTCCCCGTCTCTACCTCCCTACAGCCTGTGTTCCTCCGGCACTATGAGTGGACCTTGTACGGGATAGTGAGGTGACAAAATAGATGGGAACTCTAGATGGTGCTTGGTATCACATGGGTCAAAGACCTGGCGCTGCTCACCACCCCTCCAGGGATTCAACTTCCTACCCTGGGCTGTCTTCCTCCTTCTCCTCCTCCTCCCTGTCTTTCTTCCTCTCTGAGGACTGCTGCCCCCCCCCCAGAGAGGCAACCAGGCAGTAGCATAGTCAGACTGTCTCGACCCACCTCTGCCTGCTTCTGAAGGCAGTAACACCCCCCCTTCAGTCTCCCCCGGGGTGCACAAGTGGTGGAGGAGGGTTACCAGCTGTGGAACACACCACATGCACCTTACAGTGCCCACGCCCTTTATCCCAAGTGAGAAGGAAGTCAACAGTCCTAGCCTATCAGATAGAAAGACTCCAGGATGTTTCCAGTAAGGGCCTAGAGCCAACCCTGCCCAAGAACCCAGCCTGCACTTCATAACCGGAAAAAGACACAGTACTGAGTGCTGCCTCCAGCTGCTCACCTGAACAACAACAGCCACCTCTGCCTCCAAGGAGGCATTGGCCTTGCCCCGCAGTGAGCCCCTTGAGCCTCCCTGTAAGTGTTCGCCTGGGTTTGACCCGGCTGGTAGACGGTCCATCAGTTTCCCTCCATACCCAGCTCCTGAAGAGAGCTACACACGCCCTCACCCTGCCCCTGCTGCCGCCGCCACATGGACGCGTGCATATGCTCCCATGCATATCCACAAGCACACAGAAATACACATGTGCACACTCTCAGTCTCTCTGCAAGCCTCTGGAGGAGGACTCCAATCAGCCCCACTCCCGGATTCTCTGACACACCTGGTAAAGTCCCCAAGTCCATCCTGTCACCCTCTACATACTTTCCTAACCTCAGGCATCTGGCTGCCTGGTGCTCCCTGGAAGAGGGGGAGGCAGGAGAAAGGCAGGAAAAACTCCCAAGGCAGAACCCCAATGTTTACAGCATGGGCCACAGCATTATACAAAACAATATTTTCCGTGCAGATTCTATGTCTTTCTGGCCTGCGCTCTCCCCAGGTACTTGTGGTGATGGCCTGGGCATGTGAGAGTTCAGGAACAGGGCCAGATGGTGTGAGCTGGCCGCTGGAAACATGGAAACCACAGGACATTTTCATGAGTCCTATTCAACAGTGCAGGCGCATGCCCTGGCCTGCATGGTAACTTGCTGGCCCTAGGCCTATGGGTGGAGCCTTGAATTCAGGCAGACAGGTCTGGCTAAACTTTTGCCCACTGCCCAGCTCTCCTGAGCCTGGATGATGCTGATACAAACACCTGAAGTTTGCAACATTAATCTCAGCTGTCAAGAAAAAGGAGGCTTGTCTTCTAACTCTGCCTCTAGTGGGTGGTGTCAAGAGGGACGTGGGAATTGGGATCACACCTGACAGAAAGTGACAGCCTGCGCTAAGGTCCAAAGGGATCAGAGTTACCGTCTAACCAGCTGCACCCAAGGGGACAAGAGTGAAAGCCCAGAAAAGAGGAGCGACCAAGTGTCTTGCTGTGGCGTCTCTACCTGAGCGGGAGTAGGGGAGGGAAAGAGGATGGCCAGCGGTACTGGAGCCATGCTTGGGACTCTGTCACTTCTCACACTCAGAGGCTCATGGTGGGGTCAGTCCCACAGTGGCCCCTTGGGAGTCCCGCTTCCCTCTTTCCCCGGACTCCCTTCCTCAGCAGGACACCCCTTGCCCTGGCCAGTGAAAAATGTCACCCAGCTCCCCTTTGCCCTTGAAGCCATTGCTTCAGGCGCTACACCTCCACCCGTCCAAATCTCTCAGGCCTCCTAAAGTCCCTGCCCAGGCAGACAGGGCCCAAGTGTTGGACTGAGACCTTGCTGGGTCAGAGGAGTTTGTTCCCATGTGTTTCAATGCTCCCAGGAAGGAACAGCACCTATGCTGGGACCCAGACATTGGCAAAGAATAGTTCAGACATCAGCATTCAAGGCCTCTCTGCCACTCACTTCCTCCCCTCCTGCTTCTGGGAATCCCCCAAGACCCTGAGTTCCTGGAAGGAAAATTAGCATTTTGAAAGCAAGAACACAGTCTCTGGCCTTCCCACAGTCTAAGACAGGCTTCCTGGAAATACCCCTTCATACCCCAGAGCCTCCTGCCAGCCTCTGGCCACCGGTCAAACCATAGTAGCCCTGAAGCACCCAGCCCATTCTCTGCAAGCTTCAGTAAACCCTTCCTCCAGGCTTGGCAGAGCTGAGATCCTGTGTGGTGCGGGATGCCTGCAGGGTTCTTGAGGTAGGTTTGCTCCACATCTTGCACTTGCAGACCCAACCTCGTCCCTCTTGACACCACCCACCAGACGCACGCCTGCCGATCGGTCCCGAGAGGAAGGTCCCTGGGAACCCAGGCTGCCTAAGGCAGGAAAGCACAGTGTCCTGAGAGGGGAGCTACTAACTATTCCCTCCACACACTACTTTAAGATAGGAGAATTGGTCCCTCTCTCGTGGCTTTTAGAGCCATCAAGAGACAAAGAGATGAGGAACACACATCAGTAGCTAACATCAAAGTAGTTTTTGCTGGGTAATTGGACCCATGCTCATACAAAACCTCAAAATTTCACACCACAAAACAAAACTGTTTGCTCATCCATCCCCAGAACACTCCAAAAGGGAAACTCTATGCAGGTGCAATTCTACTTTCTACCACCAGGTGGCAACTGAGACCAGTACATCTTTTGGAAGCCTCCCTATGCCTATGAATCTTCTGGGTGAATGCTGTAGAATCAGACAGAGGCTGGCGACCCGGGGGGATTATATATACAGAGGTGACCACAGAAGGTCTTCCCACTGGACATGCTCCTCAAAATATCCAGAAGCAGGCACCGCCATCCTACCTTGAAGCCTGGGGAAGCTGAGGCCCCAGAATGGAGGAGTTGGTCACACAATTATCCCCACTCATCGACACAAGTGACTGAAGTCATTCAGCTTTATCTGAAGTCCCCAGCATGGCTTTACAAAGATGGGAAACATGACTAGCACCAGGCATCAAGGGAACTGGACCAGGTGAGCACGAGCTGCCCAAGCATAGGAGTCCAGGCTGGAGCCCCCACAGGAGTCTCTGGCAACAATTTCCCACGGCATTGAGTGTCCTTGACCCAGAGTGGGGCTAGAAGCCCAACTGTCCTGATGCCCTCCACTTGGGAACCCTCTTAGTAGGAGGTGTGGCAGCGTGGCCAAGCCAGCCAGAATGATGTCAGAAGGAACAGTAGGATGAGCGCTGTACCCAGGGTGACAGAGGGCACCAAGTCTGAACCCTCTGTACTATCAATGTCGTCATCAGGAGCATCTCCAGGGGCGTCTGGAGCCCCGGACAGCTGGGCATCGGAGACCTTCTCCCCTGGGAGTCCCGGGCGGCCCATCTGTGTGTGGGAAGGAGAAAGGGTGAGGGGCTGGACCTCATCGAAGTAAACCCCTGCCTGTCCACTTACCACTTTCTTTCTGTCCAACTCTCCAGCTAGAGTCACAGACCAGAGTGGCCACAAGATACCCCCACCACGGCCCTGGACAGTGATGCTGTATCAGTTCTCTCCTTTGTAAAGGGACTGTTGATGGCCCCTGGGAGAGCAGGTGTCAGGTGCGCCTCCTTCCTCACCACCACCACCATGGCTTTGTGTCTTATCTTCTTACCTCCCCTTGAGGTGCTGGAGACCTTAGCCCCAGAGTCACAGTCCGGGAATGCCACCCCGCCAGTTCCTCAGGCACTTAGAGGTTGTCAGTCTGGTCTGGAAGGACCTTGGTAAAGCCTGGTAAGGAGCTACACTCCACCCTACCTCCACATACGGGCAAGGATTCCAGGACGCATCCGCCATAAAGATAAGAAACAAGAGGCTCCAAGACTCTACAAAGGTAATCGTGGCCACCTGAGCCTTAGATCATGGCAACAGCTTCCAGGCAACTGGAAGAACCCCTCCTCTGGGCAGGATAGGGCCTCGCACGGAAGGATTGTTGGGATCTAGTGCCCTGGGGTGGCTAGTGCAGGAGGCAGGGAGAGGAGGTGTTTCCATTCTGGGATCTAGCTCAAGCTGGATTCCCAGGTCCCTCTCTCCTCCCACATGGACTCTGTGTGGCATCTGTCTCTCAGCACTGTGAGCCCCCAGAGCAGTTACCTTCCAGCCACAGGGGTCTCATATCCTCAAGCCCCTCTCCCACCTCTTCTGAATGGATCCAGTTGAGGCCTTTGTCCAGCAGTCCCCCACCTCAGGGGAGCATCCCCGAGGAGGAGCTAGATGGAGCTGAGCTACGGGGAAACTGAGAGACCCAGCTGCATGCTCCACCCTTGTGGGTGTGTCCACAGAGAGGAAGAGCCAGTGTCTCAAAGCAGAGCTGGGACCCCTCCCAGGCTAGCCTTCATCCCCTGCCTGTAATCCAGAGTCTCCCATTGGGGAGTGCAGGCTCAGGAAAGGAAGATTATGGGTTCAAACGAGCAAGGGGCTTCCAGATGCTGTGGTGCTCAGGGCTGTGCAAGGCACAGGGTAAGCAGAGGGAAGGAGACCTTCACACCTAACCAGAGGCACCTGACTGAGTCAGACCCAGGCAAGAGAATGCAGGAAGCCTCCCAGCAAGAGGGTTAGGACAGCCTCAAAGATCCTTGCAGGATCTTCAAGAAAGAACCTTCAAGATAGATGGTCATCAAATTGTTAACTTAAAACAGGAAGTTTTGGATCCATGAGCCTGCCTAGGTGAAAGACAGCTGTAGGCCCACTTGGGCCCTCATGACCTGGACTTGCCTTGGCCCTAACTGCAGCCAAGGGTCATATCTGGGGTTCCTGTACCATTGAAGGCTGTGTGGATATCTGGGGACTGAGCTGCCAGTTGGGGCCATGTTGGTATCTGAAGGTCGCACTGCAGCCGGTGCCATACAGATCTGAGTGACTTGCCCTCCACCTGGGACCATGGTGACATCCAGGCTCGAGCTGCAGCCAAGGACCATGTCTGGGATTGTGGTCCTGCTGCAGCTAGGGTCTGTGTGATCTCCATGGCCCAGGTTACCACAGGGGTTACAGGAACCCTGTATGTTGAAATCCGAGGGCTGTGCTGAGCCAGCATTACCCTTTGCTGGTCCTGGAAGAGTTAGTCCTGCCCCTTCTTGGTCACTGCAGCGGAAGAGTTGGCTCTGCCCTATCATGGGAGATTGATCCCATACTCAGGGAGAAATGGTCCCACCCCTCACTACAGGTGTGAGAGAGCTGGCCTCTATGGGTACAGATGAGCTGGCTCCACCCCTCACCTGAGGGGCGCAGCCCCAGCATCCCAGACTAATCAAATCAGCTACAACCCAAACCCACATTCAGGACTTTGAGTTGGTCCACCCCAGCATCTACCCCATGTATGACCTGCCAGAGTGTGGGAAGAAACTGGTCCTGCAGAACCATAGCTGCAGAATCTCTAAGACTCGGGGAGTTTTGGTGAGGGTCCAGTACTGATGGCATACTTGAATCAGACCAACAACTCAATGCAATGAACATTTGCAAGTAAAGTTGATTGGACAAAGGGGTATATTTCATGACACCCTGGAGCTTTCAATACCGCTAAGATGAATGAAGAGGTGTTGAACAGGCAGGAAAGATGGAGGAGCAAAGTGGGTATTTTGTTTGTTTGTTTTGCTTTGCTTTTAATTAATATTTTTAAATGTTCTTTTGTGAGGTGTGAGGAAAATGAGCAGGATTGGGGTTCATGATATGAAATTCCCAAGGAATCAATATATATGTGTGTGTGTGTGTGTGTGTGAGTGAGTGTGTGTGTGTATACATATATATATTTTAAAAAATGAACTGTGAACTGTCTAATAAATGCTCACAACAAAAGACCATTAGCAAATCAGGCATCATTACTCAGCAGAGGCAGGCAGAGCCTGGGGCCCCTCACTGGCTTACCAGCTTCCTGTTAGCCCTAAACCAGAAACACCTGTCCACCTAAAGGCATCACCACTACACCACAAGCAAAACGGACAAACTTAAAACCACAACACAGAAGTGGGTGCTTTCACCTTCCCCCCCTCCACCCACAAGGAGCCTGAGCCAATGGGCACTGGACAGTGGCAAGCCTGTGAAGTGTGCCTAATCTAAATCACAGCGCACAGTCTGGGGAGGGCTGGTGGGGAGAGGGTACAGTCATGCAAAAGAATCTTCTAAGGCAGTAGTAATGCATGTCTTGGCTAGAAGTTTCCCCAAGTTGTCAAATTTATGAGTTAGAACCAAATGTGAGCCCTTTTTGTCGCCTTAATAAAGTTGGGGCTTTGGAGGGTTAGTTTGGTTTGCGGCAGGGTCTTATTATATAGCCCTGGCTAGCCTAGAACTCTCTATGTAGATCAGGCTGGCCTCGAACTCACAGAGATCCGCCTGCTTCTATCGCCTAAGTGCTGGGATTAAAGGCTTGAGTCACCACACCTGACCCAATCTTATATTTTAGGTGGTTTAGAATGTTACAGAATGTTATTTCTCTACCCAGGGCCAGAGACAGAGCAGAACCCATTCCTTCCGTTTTCTTTCTTTCTTTCTTTCTTTCTTTCTTTCTTTCTTTCTTTCTTCCTTTCTTTCTTTCTCTATTCTTTCTTTTTTCTAGATCCCATTCTTTTGCCAAAAAAAAAAAGTCAAACCCTGTAACCAAGTAGACTGAAAGGAAAGAAAAGGAGGGAGATAGGAAGGGAGGAAGGGAAGGAGGGAGGAAGGGAGGGAGGGAGGGAGAGAGGGAAGACGTCTAAGGACAGTAAGATGGCTCAGTGGGTTAGGACACCTGATGGCTTAAGTTCAATCCCCAAGACCCACAGAGAAAAGAAGAGAATCGACTTCCACAGCTGTCCTCTGCCTGTACTCACGGTCACCAATCACGCTTGCAGACTCACGTGCGCGTGCGCATGCACACACGTAATAGTGAATAAATCTATAGACCAGCCATCTTGACAAGAAGGAAATACTTCTCCACAGTGGGAAACAACCCTGCTTCCATAGCCCTCCCCTTTCATACAGCATTTTCACGCTTGAGCAGCATAGGATACTTCTCCATCCTAAAACTCAGTGTGCAGCCAGGGAAGAGGAGGAAGAGTCCGAACCTGGATGACCAAGCCCGCTAACGTCTGGCTTTTAATAGATGCCTAATGTCCCACTCAAGAGGCAGACACTAGAATCACCTAGTAAGTTGATCTGGATACTTCAGGCTGAAACAAGGTAGAAGGGTTTAGGTCTTCAATCCTGCTGAACTTCAGGCCTTGGAGGAAGATCAGGGGACCCAGATAGCTGGACTTCAGTTCTCAAAGAACCACCTGAGGACTGATCAGCTCTAGACAGGAGATAAAGTGGCAGTTAATGGCTCCGGAGGTAAATAGGATTGGGGAAATATTATAGTAAATAGAGGTTGTTTCAAACTTTCCAGAAACTGGGGTCTTCAAAAACAATGAAGGTGGTACCCAATTCCCTCAGATTTATCTATAGGCTGAGGGACCCAGGAAACAAAGCTGTCACTGCTTTGATGAGGTCTCGGGAGAGACACTCCAGGGGTGATTTTAATGGCCAGCATTTGGGGTATTGCAGGATGAGCACCAGTTAAAGGCTCTGATCTGGAGGTAATGTATACTCAAGGGTCCGGGCCAGAGAAATACATTCAAGCCCCTTAATCTGCTTACTGCTGGAGTGACTGAGATTAGCTACCTACCCTGTTAGTAGCCCATAATTATGATTTGTTGGGGAGCCCTGTTCGCAAAAAGGTGTCAGAGTGTCTGTCACTGAGTGCCACTGATGGCCATCTCCAAGAGTCAAAGGCCAGTTGTAAACAGAGGTAGAGCTTTCCTTTTCTCCTACTAGTCCCCAATAATCACACAAAAGCTTATATTAATTATAGAATGTTTGACCTATAGCTCCGGCTTATTACTAATTAGCTCTTACAACTTAAATCTACCCATTTCTATTAATCTACATTTTGTCACACGTGGGAGACTTATTGCTCTCTGGACCAGTTCCTGTGAGGGACTTACTGCTCCCTAGATTAGTTCCGTCCTGCTGTTCTGATCTGTCAAATACGAACTCTGCAAGGAGTTATTGCTCCATTGTTCCTGTGTTCTGAACATTCTGGCTTTTCTGCATGTTGTTGTTACGGACTTTCCACCTGACCATTAGGCCATGGTTAGGTTGCCTAGTAAGTTGTTTAGCTACCCATATACACAAGGAGAACTTCCTCATTTCCCTTACCCTAGATTTACCTGGATTATTCCCTTGAATAAACGAGACTTGATCAGGATCCTGTCTTGTCTCCAGCTCTAGTGTCTCTTGTCCCATCCCATTCTCACTTCCCTTCTAGGGTCTCCGTTGACTTACCCGCGGGCCTGGGGCAGTCACATGGCTTCATGACTTTTCCCTGTTCTCTAGCACATCTTGCTTCCCCTGAGGCTGACTCACCTCTCCCTGACTCCGCCCTTCTCCTTTGTATTTTCAGTTTGGCCTTCCCACCTGGCCTTATTCTGCCTCACTATAAGCCAAAGCAGGTTCTTTATTAAACAATGAGAGGAGTACATATTCCCAGTGTACAGTGGGATCATCCTGCAGCAGCCAGCGTCCTAAATAGAGGTAAGAGCGATAGTAACGCACGCCTTTAATCCCAGCGCTTGGGAGGCAGAGGCAGGCGATCTCTGTGAGTTCAAGACCAGCCTGGTGTACAAGAGTGAGTTCCAGGACATCCGGCACGACACAGAGAAACCCTGTCTGGGAAAACAAAACAAAAACTAAGAACTGACTAGAGGGGTGCTATCAAGGAGAGGGCTTTAAAGTTTACCCAAAGGTTAGAAGCTACCCAGTGGTTAAGAGCACAGGGTGCTCTTCCAGTGGACCCTGGTTTGATTGCCGGCACCAACATGGTGGCTTACAACCATTTGTAACTCCGGTCTTGGAGAATTTGAGGACCTTTTCTGGTCCCCTTGGGCACCAGGCATGGATATGGTACACAGACATGCATGCAAGAAAAGACCCCCCCAACACATATACACATGTACACATACTAGATTTAAATAGATAAATTTCCCAAAACAAGTATGGTGGTTGGCCTGCAATCCCAGCACTTAGGAGGGGGAGTGTCCTAGTCAGGGTGACTATAGCTGTGAGGAAGCCCTGTTACCAAAAGGAACCTGGGGAGCAAAGGGTTTATTTGGCTTATACTTTCAAGTCACTGTTCATCACTGAAGGAAGTCAGGACAGGAACTCAAACAGGGCAGGGACCTGGAGACAGGAGCTGATGCAGAAGCCATGGAGAGGTGCTGCTTCCTGGCTCGCTCAACCCGACTTCTTATAGAACCCAGAAGCATTAGCCCAGGGATGGTACCACCCGCTGCCAACCACTAATTGAGAAAATTCCCTACAAGCTTGTCTACAGCCCAATCTTCTGGAGGCATTTTCTCAGTTGAGGTCCCTCCCCCCTTCTCTAATGACACTCCCATGTGACAAGCTGACATAAAACTAGCCAGCACAGGTAGGCAGGAGTGATGGTTGGCCGTGCTTGACCTTGGCAATGTAGCAGTGACTTTGAGCCCAGCCTGAGCTACAGCAGACTGTCAAAAAGAGAACAGCTTCATGAGAGGCCAACTGGTGGCCAGGACAGAGGTGATGCTTGAGCTCTGTCTAAGGAGCCTTTGATTCGGGGGGGGGGGGGCTTAAGGTGCATTAGGAAGGTACCCTACATCAGGCAATGTCCCTTTCGGTGACCTGTGTGTCTCCTCATTTCCTCAGGAGGAGCCAGTAGCCATCTCAAGCTGCCTGTTCGCACTCCATCTTTTTCCTCTTGTCTCCTCTGTTCCTTCTCGAGACCTGGATACTAGAAACAGAATTTGTTTATTTGCTTTATGTGTTTGGGCACCCTAGCTTCACCTTTACATTATTTAAATATATTAAATATTATATGTTAATTATATATAAAATTCACATCACACACACATACACAGAACCCATGGATCAGCTAGCCTGGAATACATACTGAAGGGGAAAAAAGGAAACTTATTGACCTTGTTCCATGGCAGTAGGAACAGCCAGAAAATATCATGGGGTACAGCCACACCTCTTTTGGGAAAGTACTTGAGTCGGGTTACTATGGGCATAGCAGGAACCAGAAGGACACTGGGTACAAGAGGAAGTAACTGGAGGTGAGTCCTCCTGAAAATGGAAAAATAAGGGAGATCCCAGAGCCAGCGGAGACGGCAAAGGTGGAGGGAAGTGGTAAGCAGAAAGCAGCCTCGAGGAAAAGAAAGGAGTCCACACCCTGCCATGATGGAGAAGGAGTTCTGATCACAGCTAGTGGGAACAAAACACCACCAGCACTTGCATTGGCTTTGCCTTGGCTCCCGATCCTTGGTTCCACAAACTACCAATGGGGCCAGGAGCCCCCTGAAGAACAGGGAAAGAAGGGGGAAGTGTGTCCTGTTTGTGACTTCACTCTTGTTTTGGGAATACATGAAGGAACTGAGAAAAAAAGTGGGCAGAGATGACCTTCTTCATGTCGGTGAGGCAGTCAAGTTCTCATAAATAAAGCGCCAAAAAAAAAAAACACTTAACCACTGCGGGATGGTGGTGGTGCACACCTTTAATCCTAGCACTCTGGGAAACAGTGAGGCGGATCTCTGAGTTCTAGGCCAGCTTGCTCTGTAGAGTGAGTTCCAGGATAGTCAGGGATACACAGAGAAAACCTGTCTCAAAACAAAACAAAAAACAAAGAAAAAAACCCAAGCAGAAAAAAACACTTAGCCATGGCTTAAAGTCTCAGCTGTCTTACATGGGAAATGTGCTCAATTAGAAAAGCAACAGGGGCCAGTGAGATAACTCTGTGGGTAGAGGCACTTGGTAGAAAGCGTGAGGGTCTGAGTTTACGCCAAATTGGGGCAGGCTCCAGCCACTCTGTTTGCCTCCCCCTTCCCTAAATTTGAGCCAGGGTCATTCTAAGTCTAAGTCATGAGAATGGTAGATGGGGTAAGAAGAAGGCATCCCAAGGAACCAGGAAGAGGGGAGAAGAAGTTAACTGCTTTACCCACCCACATCACACTACACAGCCACTGACCACAAAGGAGCATGGGAAAGAAAAATGATAAGAGAACTTGCCTTGCCCCAGTAGAATATAGCAGCCTGCTTTGTCCTGGGCTGGTGAGATGGTTCGGTGGATAAAGACAATTTCTCCTAAACCAGACAACCTGAACCTGAGTTCAACCCTGGGAACCAACATGGTGGAAGGAGAGAACCAACGACCCCTAAGTTGTTCTTTGACCTCTTCAATCTCTATGGCACACGTGCGCACACACATACACAGAACCCATGGATCAGCTAGCCTGGAATACATACTGAAGGGGAAAAAAGGAAACTTATTGACCTTGTTCCATGGCAGTAGGAACAGCCAGAAAATATCATGGGGTACAGCCACACCTCTTTTGGGAAAGTACTTGAGTCGGGTTACTATGGGCATAGCAGGAACCAGAAGGACACTGGGTACAAGAGGAAGTAACTGGAGGTGAGTCCTCCTGAAAATGGAAAAATAAGGGAGATCCCAGAGCCAGCGGAGACGGCAAAGGTGGAGGGAAGTGGTAAGCAGAAAGCAGCCTCGAGGAAAAGAAAGGAGTCCACACCCTGCCATGATGGAGAAGGAGTTCTGATCACAGCTAGTGGGAACAAAACACCACCAGCACTTGCATTGGCTTTGCCTTGGCTCCCGATCCTTGGTTCCACAAACTACCAATGGGGCCAGGAGCCCCCTGAAGAACAGGGAAAGAAGGGGGAAGTGTGTCCTGTTTGTGACTTCACTCTTGTTTTGGGAATACATGAAGGAACTGAGAAAAAAAAGTGGGCAGAGATGACCTTCTTCATGTCGGTGAGGCAGTCAAGTTCTCATAAATAAAGCGCCAAAAAAAAAAGNGAGAGAGAGAGAGAGAGAGAGAGAGAGAGAGAGAGAGAGAAACAAAATTTAGTTTAAAAAATTTTTTAAAGACAGTCCTTAAAAATATCCCTGGCAGGCCACTAAATATTTTCAATCTCAAAAAGAGACAACTAAACTAGGTTGATGGTGCACACACCTTTAACTCAGCATTCAGGAGGCAGAGGCAGGAGTATTTCTGTGTGTTCAACCCCAGACTGGACTATATAATGAATAGGCCAGCCATAGCTAGAAAGATCTTGTCTCAAATTTTTTAAGGAGCAACTATGATACTTCCTTTAAAAACTGCATTGCCAGGATACAGGAAGTGGGATCCAAAACCCATGTTGTGAGAGATAGCCTCAAAAATCACCAAGCTTGCTAATCCCAGGTACTTGGTGATCTGAGGCAGGGGTTTTGAAGTGTCTTGGTGAAAGATGTCTCCAAGAAAGATAGGAGCTGGAATTTAGCTCGGTTGGTGTAGTGCTTGCCTGAGTCCAATCCCTTTCACAGAATGAAGCCAGGCCTGCAGAGCCAATTGAAGGTGGAGGCAGGAGGATAAAATTGAAGTGGTTGGCTAACTAGCAAGTTTGATGCCATCCTGAAATACAGAAGACCCTGTCTCAAAACAGGGGGAGAAGAGGTGGAGGGGAGCTGAAGAGATGGCCCAATGGTTAAATGACTTGGCTGCTTTTCCATGGGATCCAAGTTTGGTTCCCATCACCGTTAGGTGATTCACGCCTGCCTATAGCTCCTGCTCCTAGAAGCCTAACACTTCTAGCCTCAGGAGCACATTCTCACAAACAGATAAACATACAATAAAGATAAATCTACGTATCTTAAATTTTTTATGTGTGTGAGTGTTTTTTCTCCATGTATGCCTGCATCACCCATGAGCTGAAGTCAGAAGAGGGTATTGATGACCCTGCAAATGGAGGTACAGAGGGGGGCTTGCACCAGCATGTGGTGTTGAGGGTCAAACTTGAGTCCTCTGCAAGAACAGCTGGGGCAGGGGCTGGAGAGATGGCTCAGTGATTAAGAGCACTGGCTGTTATTCCAGAGGGCCGGGGTTCAATTCCCAGCACCCACAGCTGTCTGTAAATTCAGTTCCAAGGGATGTTACACCTTCACCTCAATGCACATAAAATAAAGTTAAACAAAATTTAAAAAAAAAAAAAAAAAGAGCCGCCAGGGCTCTCAACCGCTGAGCCATCTCTCCAACCCCTAAAATAAAATCCAAACAAACAAACATGCGTGTTCTGAGACTGGTATGAAGTGGAATGCCACTGAGAATTCATGTTCCCCTGTTAGGTAACAAACACGAAAGGAAGATACAGGAAGGAAAGAAGAGGTCTAGGCGCGGTGGGCTGTGGGAGATGGGTGGTTTCCTGGCTTCTTGTCCTCTGTCCTACTGTTTCCACTGTAGTAAAGGGGAACTAAGATATCTACCATGCTCTTTACTGTTTTAATAGCCTGATCATAAAGGGCCAGCTTATGAATGTGGAGGGGAAGTGAGTCCACGCCCATGCCTGAAAAGACCCAAGGGAGAAGCGGGCATCATGACGATGGCTTTTTTCCACACCCTAGAATAGGCATCCAGAGAAGTTTCTGTTTCGATTTTTCTTCATTTCATTATTTTTATGCCATTAATGGAATGATTTTGAACAATATCAGGCTATTTCGACAGTCAGGAAATCCCAGAGGCTAGGAATGTAGCTCAGATTGCTTGCTTAGCAGAGAGGTCCCGGGTTCTGCCCCAGCTATGGGCTGAGACAAACCATGGCACCTGCTGGAGTTTCCCCAAATTGTGTCTGCTCAGGCATCCTCCCCGCACTGCACCCACCCAAATCTGTTCAGATTTGATTAGGGTCAAGACGGAAGCAGTGGGGTGACAGATATAGAAATGACATCTATAGGACAGGAGAGGGCACAGAGTAAGGCTGAGTGAGACAAAAAATCTGTCATGTGACCTTGGCGAGCTTCACCTCTGTGGGCTTGTTTGTGCTGGACCTAGTCAAAGAGCGGTCCACGCCCTTGACACAAGCCTGGCGGAGTGGGGCTCAGAGACCTTGGTCGCTGGTCCCAGGCCACCCTAACAGGTGTTCGCTAGTGTTCGCCCGCCCTACGCCTTGCCCGTGGAGCGGGTTTCCCCGGCAGAACCCAGGGCCTCAAAGCGCACGCGGACGGACGCGCCCCAGAGCCCTACCGCATCCTGCATCCGAGACAAGCGACTGTCCCATTGGACAGCACGGCCCTGCAGGGCCGCCCTGCAGCCAATCGTAGCCGCAGGGCGGAGCTTTGCCTGACGCGCGCTGGGGGCTCGGGCGGATGCTTTAGCTCCGCTGCTCAGTCCAGCCTGCGTGTACTCCAGCGTCTCGGCAGTGACCATGCAGGAGCCCCTGCTAGGATCCGAGGGTCTGGACTATGACACCTTCCCCGAGGCGCCCGCGTCGCCGAGAGAAAGGACGCGGGCCGGGTGAGAGTCGCAGGGCGTGGGGGGTGGGAGGTTGGAATGGCCTTATCTCCAGTAGGCTGTCGGCACACATCTTGGGCTGCCACTGACTTCTGGTGAGTGGCTACCAAGAGTCATCTGGCTCTTTCTAACCGCATGCTCGCAAGTCCTATTTAAAGAGCTGATCTCCCATAGAGAAGTGGCCTTCTCAAAAAATAATGGGTGGGGACCCATCTGTCACAGATAGGGAGAGAATGAGGGTCTTGCCTGAGATTACAGAGCAAGTTTTGGGCAGCACAGCAGGAAAGGGAACCCATGACCCATTTTCTGGAGAAAAAGGGGCCCCATCCCCAGCTGGCACCCTGGGGATTTCCTAGAGCCGTTGCTCAGGCCTCAGGGAGGTACCAACTTGACTGGCCCTGGACCCCAGGCTTCTCCCTGCTGTCTGCTGAGCTGGATGACCACGAGGCTCAGGGAAGGCAGCAGTCTGGGAACCCAGGATCCAGTTAGAGGACTTGACCCTGGTCCTTTGGTTCCACCCCCATCCCCCACCAGGGTCTTGCAAAACAGAAGGGTGTTCCTGGCCACTTTTGCTGCTGTTCTGGGCAATTTCAGCTTTGGGTATGCCCTGGTCTACACGTCCCCAGTCATTCCTGCGCTGAAGCTCTCTTCTGACCCAGAACTACACCTGGACAAAAAGCAGGCATCCTGGTTTGGGGTGAGACCTGTTCTCTAAGCCAGGCGGGGTAGTAGGGGAGCATGGACCCACTCAGCCTGTTTACCACAGAGAACTAAAATCCCTCAGCCTTGGCACCTCCCCTAAAGCCTCCCTCACACACTCCTGTCTGCTAGTGGTGATGGCAAGACCCGTGAGGAAGTGACATCCTACAGAGATGTGGGGAGGGGCTGATGGGAAGATTTCCCAATAGCATACCCACAGCCAGGCTGCCACAGCAGAGCTGAGTGTCTGGAGGCAGGAACACCAGGTGCCAGAGGGATGAGAGGTATCATCTGGAGAAAGACATAGTGTGGCCAAATAGAGAGGAGCCCAGGAGCCCAACACTGTTGCATTAGATGTCAGTAGACCCTGTGTTAGAACTGCAACTTGACAACCAAGCTGGAAAGATTTAGGGTTTCTTGAGCATTTCAAATGGGGTGGGCACGTGCAGGGAACACACAGCTCAGATACTTGGTGAAACAGTTTTACTCCTGGGGTCAACCTGTGCTCTCCCCATTACACAGCTGAGAAACTGAGGCTTAGACAAGCCGCCAAGCTGTGTGCTCTGGTCCCACTGCTCATGAGTAACAAGAGTCCAGGCAAATCCCTTATTCTCCAGCAACTCCAATGACCCCCAAATCTTAAGTCACAGTTCTCTTGGGTAGAGTGGGAGCTATGGAGGACCCCGTTAATCTCAGGACTTGGGAGGCGGAGGCAGATGACTGTTTTTGAGGCCAGCGTGGACACTCCTGAGCTGAGCCACTGTGGACAGGTGGCCCCCCTGCACCTCTAGAGCAGAACAGTAGTTGTGGCACCCTCCCACACCGTTGTCCACAGGCTGCTGTGCACTCCGACAGGGGGCTCTCGACCAAAGAATGCCTGCCTTCTGGGTCAGCCCTGGGGGAACTATCTCTAGGCTCCCCTGGGGGTGAGAACGCTTAAGGCCATTGTATCTTCTCACACCCCTGCAGTCCGTGTTCACCTTGGGTGCCGCAGCTGGGGGCCTCAGTGCTATGGTACTCAATGACCTCCTGGGCCGGAAGCTCAGCATCATGTTCTCGGCTGTCCCCTCAGTCATTGGCTATGCACTCATGGCTGGTGCCCGTGGCCTCTGGATGCTCCTGCTGGGGAGAATGCTGACGGGCTTTGCCGGGGGACTCACTGCTGCCTGCATCCCGGTAAGGCCAGATGTCTCCGCTGCTTCAGGGCTGTTCCGGGCCACCCCTGCCTCTGAGCCTTTGCTCAGTAGAGTGTGTGGGGTCTCCTACATTGCCCAAGGAACCTCATCTCCCTCCACCAAAGAAGCTGACATCACTGTCACCGAAAGCTTCCTATCCTGTGTTTTGACCTCAGTTCTATGCATTGCTCAACTGAAGAAAATCTGAGTTGAGCAAGGGATGTGAAGGGAAGTTCCTGCCCCTGCCCCCCTCCCAGCCCCAACTGCTTACCTCATGCAGTACTCCCTACAGACGCCTGTCCCCTGGCCAAACAGGGGGAAAAGGGATCACTAAGAGAAACACAAGCACCTGGCCTGAATACCCTGGGCTTGGTTGGGTCCCAGCGTCATAGTCCGTCTGTGTGTCTGCCTTCCCACCCCCATCCCATGCCCATCAGAGCTGAGTGCTTCTGCCTATTTTCGTGCTAGGGAAAGGGAAGGTCAGAGCTATGGTCAGAACAAATCTCCTGCCAGTTTCTCCAGGCTCCAAGGCCTCCCTCTCTCACCCCATTGGGCCCAGAAACATGCATTCCCACTAAAGCCCCAAGTGGAGGCATGTGTCTTGCAGGTATACGTGTCTGAGATTGCACCCCCTGGTGTTCGTGGAGCTCTTGGGGCCACACCGCAGCTCATGTCCGTGTTTGGATCCCTGTCTCTCTATGCCCTCGGCAAGTATCATCCTGTAATCCAGCATGCAGGTTCTGGAGATGAATGGGGAGTGGGGGTGGGTAGAACTCTCCCTGAAAGAACCCAGCACTGATAGGCAGGACATCTGCCTAGCCCCCATGGGTATCACATCTCTGAGCAGTGAGGCCTGTTCTACAGCAGGAGTCTCAAACCACCTTCCCACAGCACTAAGGTTGTCTAGTATCCTGTCAGTCATGAGGGACGCCCATACAGGAGCTTGCCTGCCTGGGTGATGGGGGTGAGAGTCCCATGTCCAGCCTGCCTTACCCTCTCTCATTATACTGTAAGAAGCTCACTCTAGTACCAGGGTCCAGGCAATCCCTACAGCCCCTCATTGCCTCTACTACAGATACGTGGGCACTTGGGAGGCTTGGCCAGGAGAGCAGTGAGGTTACTCAGAGGCCCCAGCCCCTCACTAAAGCCTCTCTCACCAGGTCTTTTGCTACCTTGGAGGTGGCTTGCTGTGGCCGGGGAAGGGCCCGTCCTCGTCATGATCTTGCTGCTTAGCTTCATGCCCAACTCGCCTCGCTTCCTGCTCTCAAAGGGCCGGGATGAGGAGGCACTGCAGGCGCTGACCTGGCTGCGAGCTGACTCGGAGGTCCACTGGGAGTTTGAGCAGATCCAGGACAACGTGCGGAGACAGGTGGGGCTGACTGATCCGAGCCCAGCACGCAAGGCTCTCTGTGGCCTTGGACACTCACTGGGCCTCTTTGAGCCTTGACTGCCTCTCCTCTGAGTGATTCTTCCCAGTGTGCAGAGCCCAGGCAGCCTCGGGTGGCTGGGTCTCTCTTAGACCCACAGGTGCCAAGACGGGATGGCCAAGGCTGGAGAGTCTGGCACAGCCCCTCAGCAGCAGCTTTGTGTTCCAGAGTAGCCGAGTGTCGTGGTCTGAGGCCCGGGACCCCCGTGTGTACCGGCCTATTCTCATCGCAGTCCTGATGCGCTTTCTGCAGCAGCTGACGGGCATCACTCCCATCCTTGTGTACCTGCAGACCATCTTCGACAGCACGTCAGTGGTGCTGGTGAGAACACACACACACACACTCACACATCCAGGCCAGCGCTGCCCAGAGTCCCGTGAGGCTGCTGAGGAGAATACAAGCAGGGAGTTAGGTGACGGAGACCTGGACACTTCTGGTTCACACCCTGCCTCAATTACATTTTCCTCAAGTGAAGCTTAAGTGTTTTAAAATATACAAATTAACGAAGGGAAAACAATTTAATAGAATGTGGGGACTCTTGGGACCATGTCCCCAGGCTCAGATCCCAGGTGGGGCCTGTAAAGTCCCCGAGAGCCCAGTTCCACCCCCACGTTCTTCCTGCAATGAGATTTGAAGATGAGGATGACTCCGGTCCACCATCACTGCCCAACCAGGGTTTGTGCCCACTAGGACTAGTAGAAGGCATAGTATATTGTACTGCAGAGCTCCCCCACCCCCGCTGGAAAAGGGCTGGGTGCAGAGAAAGTACCTAGGGCTTGGTACTTGTGATGGCTCAAGGCAAAAAAGGGACAGTGACCCTGGATTAGGCCTGAGTGCCCTGACATGAATTAGGTCGGTACAGGGCACAGAACAGGTCTCTCAGCCCAGTGTCTTGCCCCCAGCCCTCCCAGCAGGATGCAGCCATCGTGGGCGCTGTGAGGCTCGTGTCTGTGCTGATTGCGGCCATCACCATGGACCTGGCCGGCCGCAAAGTCCTGCTCTATGTGTCAGGTGAGTGTCCCCACTCTGATGTTTGCCTCTTGCTCTCCTACAGTCACCGAGTGGACTGTAGTCTTCGGGCCACACCCAAGCTTCCCTAGCACATGGTGGCTGCTCCAGACAGATCTGCCAGAGCTCCAAGAGCAAGGGAGCCCAGCCGCTTAGCTCAGGACTGGCAAGAGACCCTGAGCTTGTCATTCCGTGTTGGGCGTGGGAGGACTGCCCCTTTTACAAGCCAGCCTTGCTGCCCAGAAAGAGGTGCTGTGGGGCTCGGGAAGGGTCTCAAGCTTGGAGAATCTTGGTCCTCAAGTGCCCGTGTGTCCGCAGCATCTGTCATGTTTGTGGCCAATCTGACGCTGGGGCTGTACATCCACTTTGGCCCAAGGCCTCTGACCCCCAACAGCACTCTGGGACTGGAAATCATGACCTTGGAGGGCACAGAGCAGCCCCCAGCTACGTCCTTCAATTATATCACTCTGATACCCCTACTGGCCACCATGCTCTTCATTATGGGTAGGAACACCCTGGCAGTGGGGACCCCTGGGATGGGCTGTTTGGGTGGGGGCACAGGGTTCTGTTACTGTCCTGGTTTGCCTGAGGGGTTGGGGAGTTGGAGAATAGGACTTCCTTACAACCCAAGAGACACGGGCAAGACAGCTTGAGGGTCCCCAGGGCTTGAGCCCAACTGCTCCCCTCTTCCGGACAGGCTATGCCATGGGCTGGGGGCCCATCACCTGGCTCCTCATGTCTGAGGTTCTGCCCCTGCGTGCCCGTGGTGTTGCCTCAGGGCTCTGTGTGCTGGTCAGCTGGCTTACAGCTTTCGTCCTCACCAACTACTTCTTGCTGGCAGTGGTGAGTGTTTGCCCCCTGGACTCCCAGCGAGGCTTCTCCATTAGCAGTCTTCTTTCACAGGCCCTTTAGAGGCTAAGAGTGGCCAAGTAATATCACAGCCAAGGCCATGACAAGAAATAGGAGCACACGGGGGAGAGGGGTGTTTGTGGGAGTCAAGTTACCTCCCAGCCCAGGGATACAGCCCAGATCAGCTGTACTGTCTGTCTCTTGACCTATTGGATGTTAAGCTTCTCCAGTGTAACCCTGCTACCTGACTATAGCATGGTGAGGTCCCTCTTAAATATACCTAGCTCCCAGGTCTGCCAGCCAGCAGACCCTAAAAACACCTGAATGTTGGCCAGCTCCAGACTCTTTATCAAGGCAATCCAGCTGGGTCAGCACAAGCCAGAACCTGCCCTCCTCCCTCAGTGACTGAGGTTAAGAGGAAGGTTGACACACATGCTGCCCACCAGGCCCTGTAAGCAGCCTAGAGCTTGGGTGTGGTACCTAAGACATCGGAGTTTCCAAGGGTGGCTGAGGGCAGTTGGGGGATAATAGGGAAGGCCGGGAGGTTTCAGAGCAGAGCAGTGGCCAGATGAAGACCACCCCGCAGGCTGTCAGTACTGGCTGAGTCCACGAAATTCTGGCTGGGGGCTGGGTCTGCTCAGTGACTCCCTCCCCAACTCCCCTGCAGAATGCCTTCGGCCTCCAGGTGCCTTTCTTCTTCTTCTCGGCCATCTGCGCGCTCAGCCTGCTCTTCACGGGCTGCTGCGTGCCTGAGACCAGGGGCCGCTCGCTGGAGCAGATCGAGGCCTTCTTCCAAACCCGCAGGATGTCCTTCAGGCCCTAGTCAGGGGCTTGGCTCTAAGGGACCACATCACCCAGGCCAGGCCTTTGCGCTGGCCACAGAGTCACACCTGCAACCAGGAGCAGCAGCATCCCTGCCATCAGCCAGAATGCAGAACACATTTCCCCCTCCGGACAGGCAGTTCACCAACTATGGGCTGGTAGGCCCCAGCTCAGGCAGCCTGCGGTGCTGTAATACCTCAACTGAGACCTGCAGGGGGAGCAGGCAGCCCAGCCCCAGACTGAGCAAAGGCTGTGCCCAAGGACAAGGCTGTCGGGGGACCTGGGGCTTAGTTTCTCACTCCTACAAGGGACACTTCCCATGCAGAGCCACGCTGAGAACAGAGAACAGGGCTGGAGGTGGCAAAGTGGCTCTGTACAGGGACATCATCACATCATGCTGTTCTGATCAGCTGGCATGGGAAGGACAGGGTCCTGCACCCACAGGGTCTGGATACCTTGCGGGGAACACTGGGCTTCCAAAGGCCAGAATACAGGACCCATTCCAACCTTTGGATACCTCTAGTCTGAAAACTGTTCACTGTTTTTCAAAATAAAGGAATTGGGTCTGCTGCCTCAGGGAGGAAAGGGGAACGGGATCTATTCCAGGAGCTCCCTACCCCAGCAGCCAGGGTACTCTGAACGTGATCATAGTGCAGAGAAAGCAGCAGCCACCGTGGGGTTGAACGCCAGCTCGCCCTTTACAGATAGGCCACTCTGTGACCCTGTGAGCAGGCTCGGGCCAGGCTCAGTGCAGCAGGCGTAGACAGGGTCTCCCTGCCAATCCCAGACACTGAAGACAGAAGGTGACAGGTAGACGGTGCATACCAACTACAGCCTTGCTTTACTCCAAATGGAAGCTAACCGAAAACAAACCAGGGGGTAGGTGGCAAAGGGAGCCACAGAAGACAGTCAGATACAGGCAATGGGGGGGGGGGGTCTAGTCTGGGCTAGAGAGTGCCTGTGTGTGCTCAGAAGCAAAGCAAGGGCTCCAGAGCCACCGTAATTCCAGAACCTCAGGATGTAAATGACTGTCCCACTCTGGTCTGTATCCCTCTCTCTACCTTTACCCCCCACCCCATGCTTTCCCAGTACAAAATCAATTTCCTTATCGGGGTCCAATCTTATCCACAGATATAGCCACTGTGTTTCAATACCAGGGACAGAAGGCCTGGGCAGAAGTGACCTGAATCTTATGCCAATACAAGTAACCAGAGGGGCAGGTAGGGCCTTTGCTCCTCCTGGGAGGTAGACAGGTCTTACTGTGAACATGGGCCCTGACACACCCAAACATACATACACAGAGCCCTTGAAGCCCATTCCTGGCTTGAGAAAAATAGCCTCAGATAAACCTTGAAGACACATGCCCCGCCAAGCCACCTACACTGTGACATCTCTGCTACTCTGAGGTTCACTGTGGCCAGGCTCTCTGAGAAACAACCGGAGCCCACATATCAAAGAGTCTCTATCCAAAATAGAATGCCCACTATTCCTGGCTCCAAAATCTGATGAACTAAAGATTCCCCAGAGACTCAGCAACTCCTGGGCTGGGTCCCATGGAGCAGGCCCAGCTGAAGTCCTAGTGCAGGAGGGAGGCAGGGCTTAGCATTTCACGTCATCTTCAGTCAGACCACCTATATGTGCCTAATGTCTAGGGTCCCGCCCATCTAAGCCACTAGTGCCAACATCACAGGACAGTAGGAAAAGATAACAGTGCAGAAGGATGGGGACAACCAGGGTATTTGCAGGAGGACTAGTTCCAGAGTAGCAGCTCTCCATACCCTAGCCATGCAGGCCTACTCACCAAGGTCTAGTACCTGAGGCAGGGCCAGCTCTGTGTGAGAGGGGACTTGAGTCTCTGCTCAGCTCTTCAAAGGCTACAGGATGCCAGGGGCAGGTTGGGAGGAATACCTGAGGTCAATCCCTACAAATAGTGAGCCTGCCATCACTGATAAAGAGGCTCTCACTGCGTATTAGCAGGAGTACACGCTCCCAGCTCACACCACACACACAAACACACACTTCCTAGCACCAAAGCCTGAGCTGGGGGAGGGGCAGGACCTGGATGTCAAGGCAAGGACCATGGGAGATGGAACAACAAGGTGTCTGGAATAGCTTGGCCAAGGCACCAGGGGACTTCCACCCAGCCCTCTGGCCACTGCCAAGGCTGCTCTTCTGGCCAAGAAGCTGCTTCCTGGGAGCACTGTAGATTCTCAAAGGACCAGCCATCTCTCCTGCTCCAGGCAACAGTCGCTGGCCTCAGGACACTGCTGCATTCATCCTCTGCTCTGAGGACAGGTGCATGGGGCAGAGCTGAAGCCTCACCTGCCAGCCAACTCGGCCCTGAAGTGGCAGGAGCCTGGATGACTGGCCTCAGGCCTGGGAAGTGTGACCAGCGCAGGAATCTGCACCATAGGCTCATAGGAGCAAGTTCATCCCATCCATATCCTATGGCCCAGGTCTTCAGTACCAGTGGGGCAGGAGCTCCAGGCTGAGTAGGTCCAGAGAACAGGGTAGGCACAAGACGACTTGAGGCATGATGACTTGCAGGGACTCTTCTCCCAGGCCATTTTACATACTTGGTGCTCCGCCTTCTCCAGACATCACACAGAACCCAGTGGCGGTAGGCAATGAGGGTAGGCCACCCTGGGCCACCTCACAGCTCTCCCTCCAGAGTCTCAGCCAGCTTCTCCTCATCTGCCTGCTGCCTCTGCTGCTGGATCCGAGCATAGGAAATGGCATCTCCCCTAGGGGGAGAAAAGAAGCTGTTCCATGGGCATAGCCCTCCCACTGCCAACTCCCAGGCTGCAGCCAGATAGGACCTGCAGGCATGTTTCCCCAGGACTGTGCTCCCCAGAGGTCACCGTCAAGGGGACAGAGGCCTTGCTCCTCTGAGAGCAAGTACCGACAAAGCTGAAGGGGACAGGTGGCAGTTGGCTACAGTGTCTGGTGCATACCTAATGGAGTGCAAGCCAGGCAAGAGGGGCCATCTACATTGTCCCGAGTTCTTGACTCTCTTCCTGAGAGCACAGGTGAGTCACTTATGGCCACTGTCCATAACTAGACAGAGGGCTCCACCCAGACCTTTCCCACTTGAGATGGGGTAGCAGGGGCAGCAAAGGAGGCCCCACCCCAGGGTTGGGCTGCGGACGCACTTTTTGCCCAGGGCAGATAGTCCGTACAGCACCCCGGTGGCAAAGGCGATGGCGTTGCCCAGCAGCGTGGTCAGGGTCAGGCTCATGACGATGGGAACGACGGCCATCCTAGGAGAGAACAGAGGTCAAGGGTGCACTCCCCCCCCCCATGTGTTGGCCCTGTGAGGGCCTCAAACATCCCTTCTGGAGGCAGAACTGAAGACCATAGCAGGTCTCCATGGCAAGATCTGTGACCCACAAATGGTTAAATAGCAAACAGCTGGGTATATGATTCATTAGAACAGAGAGGCTGGGGCCAGAGGATGGGGTAGAGTCCATCTGTACAGTCCTGTGACCAAGTTAGCTTCTCAAGGCTCCACCTCCACCGTATAGTGGGGTCAAACCTGAGATCCTGATGTCAGGTGAGGACTGCTGGCCACTTATCCCACACCCACCTCACAATGAATGAACACTCTCATCAGTACAGCAATCCTGGAACAGCTGTACCTCAACAAGCATCCCACCCCACCCTGACCCCCACACCTCACCCCTACACCCCATTCATGCCCAGGGGAACACTGGACCCAGTGCAGCTTTAGCTGGGGCTTCAGTAGCAGGCTGGCGCCACCTGGTGGTGGGTCCATTCGAACTAAGACCCTCTGCAACTCAGTCTTGAGGGATGGGATTTTCCAACAGGAGATGAGTCCCAGACAGGCTGACTCAGGAAGGTCCTGGAGCCAGCAGCCCAGCCCTCAGTCCAGTCACTTCTGGAGAGGAGGCACCCGAAGCAGGAGGATGACACACACTCAAAGCCAACTTCACTCCTTGGACTTCCGGTGTAGATTTTATTGTAGCAGAAGTGCTTCCAAGTGTGGAGGGTCCTTGACTATAGCCGACTACGGTCCATCTATGGTTGTGCTCGCAAGCGGTTCTGAGCCCCAAGCTTTGCAGGCCACCTTAGGAGGCACCATACCAAGTCACAATGCCAGCGTCAGGGCTTGAAGCATGGTGAAAGTTGGTAACAGCTGTGTTTGGTAGGTGAGGTGTGCTACCATGTTTTCAATAGGCTATCTGTTTTATCAAAATGGAAACCCACCTTAAGTCGAGGGTTTTCTATAATAAAATAATAGAAATCTCGAGGGAAAAGATCACACGAGGAAAACCATTAACATTAAAGGCAGGTAGGTTGGAAAAAGCAGAATGGGGAACATAGCATAGGAATCTGAGGTCTTTAATACTGGAAACACAGCCTGCAAAGTCAAACATTAAAGCTCTCAAAAGAGCAGGACCAGAGACCAAAAACCTTTTGAGAAAGAAAATGAATGAGAATATATAATGAGTATTTTACTTCCTAGACAATGAATATAAACGTTAAAGTAGCACTAGGCACTGGATGGGGAGGGGACGGACACCCAGATAGCCTCTTGGGAAAGAAACTGAGTCACGTATGTTAAGATCTTTTGAATGGCCATAGCCTTTGGCCTGGTAATTTCACACCTGGAAACATCTCCTAAGGATATCATCATGGTAGTTTTGGCAGACAGATGTTCACCAGACTTGACGTCGGCTAACAAATTAAAACAAAGGCACTATGTCCAGCTGAATAAATGTGTTTAACATTAAAAGGAAGGTCATAGTCTTTGTGATGATACTGAATATGAATACCATAGCAAGTCAAAAAAGCAGGTTCAACCTTTATAAGCAGGTTAAAGATGAGCTTCTAAAAGGTCTGGATTGACTGGAGAAACACATGCCAGAAAATAGGTAGTGAGATCTGGAGTGACCATCTTCTACTTTACAAATGACTTTTGATAAACACACATTACTGTGAACATCATGACAACACAGCTTAAAAACTCAAAGAAAGCCAGGTATGCTGACTCACGCCTTTAATCCCAGTACTCAGGAGGCAGAGACTCTGTGAGTTCAAGGCCAGCCAGGTCTACATAATGAGATCACCTCAAATACAAAGGGTGGGGAAAAAACAAAGGGGTGAGGAGACAACTTAGTTGGTAAGGCCCTGTTTGGATCCCCATAAAAACCCAAGTACTTCAGGGCTGGTGAGGTAGAGACAGGCAGTCGAGCCAAATTTGTGAGCTCCATGTTCAGTGAGAGACCCTATCCTTAAAAATAAGCAAAAAGTGACTGTGGAAAATCCGCACACATGTGCACCTACATATAGGTGCATGCACACACACAAACCAAAGGACATCATGCGAGCCTTATTAGAAGTTTGTGATCCTACAATCCCTTTAGATTTAGACACAACAGAAAACCACCAGCAAGCACACATTCATTGTATACTCTCACTGACGAAGCCACTGAGCCTTCACCAAGCTTTGGTCTAACCTGATCATAAAGATAAATTGTGATAAATATCACTGCCTAGCTGGGCCTCTCATGCAAAAAAAGCGCTTCTCTGAAGCGTCTGTGTATTCAATTTATCTCGGAAGTGGTGCAGTCTTGTGATACTTGTCAGAACCAAAAGGAGAAAATGTATTTAGAGGGAAATGGTGTTTTCTGTTCTTCAATCTCATGTCTGAACTTCTAGGCTGGTCACACTCCTCTCAGGGCTGCCTAATGCCCACGCAGATCTACTATGACCTACCTGGCAACTCCCAGCTGCTTCCCCCCCTCCACACACACACACACACACACACACACACACACACACACACACTGCTGCAAGCACCATAGATCTTAGAACACTTGTGTGGCCGTAGCTGCCAGCTGAGCTCCAGAGGGCAAATACTGGGTCCTGATCTTTAGCAGCTGTTATTGGATGGGCCAGTGGCTGTGTCCACAGCTATCCAATGAAACTCCTGCAGGAAAGAAAGGCCTCTACCTGTTCCTGCCCGGCCCACCTCACGAAGACCTGCTTTAATCAGAAAGTTTGGGGAACCGTGCCATATGCCCCACCCAACAGCCCCTCACCCGCAGTAGAACACAGCCTTCTGCCAGGAGCGCAGCCGGTCCACCTTCTCAGCGACTGTGTTTGCAAACTCCACGAACTGGCAGCAGAAGGGCGCCTCTCACAACAGCAGGACGAAGGCATTCATGCTGCAGGGGCAAAGGCAAAAAGGACAATGACAGTTGACAACCTGGGGTTGCAAAAGCCTTCACACCAGTGGTTCAAGGAACACCACCCTCCCACAGGCCCTCAGAAGTAAGATGCTACAAGGTACCTGTTTCTGCCAAGCAGTTCAACACCCCACCTCACCCCACTGCTGTAGCAGTATCCATAACTACCCAAGCATGCTGGAGGAAGAGCCTAGTATCTGCTCTTTTTACCCTTCCAACTGTGAAGTGAACTAAGGTCCTTGCCTCGATGTTATCTTGAGCCAGCAGCATGCTCATCCACAGAACTTAGCCACAGTGCCAGCTGCTAGGAGTATTATCATAGTCACCAACACTGCCCCTGTGGGCAGGCTGCCCCCAGTCACTGAGGACTGCTCATAGCCTGAGACCTGAGACCATGTGGGTCAGGCAGACAGAGGCAGGGTATTGGGCAGCCCATGCTGGAAGCTTCTACTCAGGTGGCTTCAATCCTTGCCCAGTTGCTGGGAGCAGCTAAGCGGCTGCTGCTGAAGGCCTTGGCTTCCATAGGTGGGTAATGGTCATGACCAGACAACTGGGTCTTTGCCACATCTGGAAGAAAGTGCTGTTGACAGCCTGATTAACAGACACAGCTCTTGTAATTCCTGCCCACTGCCTGCCCACCGTGGCTGCTAGTCTTCCAAATATCAGCTCACTATTCTGCCAATCTGTACACAACCTCTACAGTCCCCATCCTCGCCACCTTGGGCCAGCACAGGCCTCCACACACATCCACTCCACAAGACCAAAATCACCCTGGCCTGAGGCCTAAGGCGGGACCTGTACCTTGCCCCAAATGACTGGGCAAGCACTAACAAATGCTAATGCTTCCCCAGCGCCTTGAGCCGCCCTCTCTCTGGCGCCCCCTCCCGGGATCCAGCTGCCAGGAAGAGGGTGATGAGGAGTGCACCTGTGGATGCTATAGCACCAGTTACACCTGCATCTGCCCCCCTAACTAGCCCTGCTCACCGCCTCACAGCTGGTCGACCACCCTCTTAGACCCCCAACTCTGACCTTACACACCATGGCTCTGGAGCTCCGAGAGGGAAGATCCCATTGCAGTAGATGAGGAGTCTACAGTGTTGAGCCGGGTAGATGCTCAGTAACTGTGTCTGTGACCCTGTACTCAATAAGGGCTCAGCTGGCTGTCCCCCTGGCCCATCACTGGTGGGAGCAGGGAGGGGGATAAGACCTGCATCACAGACCTCAAGCCCCACTGGGGCAGGCCACTCACAGCTACTCACATCATCCACACGCCAGCTGCAATATTCAGAGGGTGGATGGTGACACAGTTGAAGAGTCCAGAGATGGCACAGGCTTCAAAGCAAATGACACGGGCAGGAGTTAGTGGAGTATGCGGCAGACACGGCAGAAGGCTGTCTGGGCA